GCGGGTTATCCTGAGGGGCAAGAATGTATTTCCCAAAACGATCAGATGATTAGCAGTGCTAAATACTGTCTTGGAGTTAGACTTTATATTTATGGCTTATGTTTCTAGGTTTATTTGCTTGTTGGTTTACAGAAAGTCCTGAGCACTGGAAGCTAATTCAGATCACTGTTCACACCTTACAAAATGATAGACAATTGCAAACAGCAGACCCTTGCTAACCTTTATTAGACACATTTCAAATAGTACTGTAAAAATATCATCATTACCACTCAGCCCGTAGCGTTCTCAGCCCATAGTTTCACTGTCAATTGAGTAGAGAAGGAAATACAGGCAGGGTTAACACAGGTTACATAAGAATCAAAGCCAGAAAAGGAGATAGCAGATCAGCAGGTCACTGGCTCTTTGAAGCAGGTTCAATTTAGCTAATCACTTTTTATCAGTCTATAATCTGCTTCTGCTCTGACAAGAATGAGAAATCCAGTTTAAAAAAAAAAAAAAAAAAACCCAAACCCGCGGCCGTCAAGTCGATTCAGACTCATAGTGACCCTACAGGCCAGAGTAGAACTGCCCTATAAGGTTTCCAAAGAGCAGCTGCTGGATTTGAACTGCTGACCTGCTGACCTTTTGGTTAGCAGGTGAATGCTTAACCACTGCACCACCAGGGCACCACACCTACTCTAGCAGGTTCTTAAAGTGCCTTTCAGAGTAACTTTAAATAGTATACTATGGTAGATTGGTTCCAAAGATGACCGCAACCATATCTCCCAACTTGCAGGTCTTTGGCAATGAGATTTTGCTATTCCTTTCATAACGAGGTAGAATTGCATTCTCCCCCCCTTGAATCTGGGCTGGCCTGTGACTTGCTTTAACCAATAGAATGTGGAAGAAGTAATAATGTGTGGCTTCTGAGGCTAGGCTTTTTGACATCTTATAGCTTCTGTTCTCACACGTTTGGAGTGCTCCTTCTTGGACTATTGCCATGCTCTGAGGCCATGCTATGAGGAAGCCCAGGCTAACCTCTGGAAACGCTTTGTAGAGGAAAGCAAAGTTTCTCAGGTTCAGAAGCCCTGCCAGGCCCAGTTCCAGCTGATTAACCAACTGAACGCAGTTCCCTGAGTGACCCCAGTGAGATCAGCAGGAGAGCCACCTCTCATCAACCTAGAAATTATTTGTTGTTCAAGAGAAATAGCAAATCATTGCTTTAAGCTACTAAGTATTGGGATGGTTTATTCCACAACAATAGAAATTGAAGCATATATCCTAACATAGCAATATCTTGTATAGCAGTTAAAAGTTATATGTGTATGTGTATATAAATAAAGCTAACAATTTTATTGACTATGTTTGTTGGTTATGCTGTGTAGGTCTATGATTTACGTATGGCACAGGATTTTCCCATGTAACCAGGACTGCAGTCACAGTTCCCAGCTTTTTTGTTGCATTGACCTCCATTCTCACAGGGTCCACAGGTGAACTGACACTCTGGTTCCCGGAGGCCATCAGGGCAGGCTTATAACATAAAGAGAGAGAGAGAGAAGGAGCTTCGACTTTTGGTAAATCTCAAAACAGTCTCAGATTTCAGCTATTGCCTAAGTGAGTTGGAAAATTGAGTGTGTGTGTATATACGTGTGTGTGTGTGTGTGTGTGAGACCAAGGTGCAAAGAAAGAAACATTCTAGTAGCCTCCAAGGATTTATGGCACTTCCAAAAATATTCCCTGAAGAAATCAACATGATGCTGTATCTTGTCACTTAAGAAACACAGATACAGAGGTTGGCTTTTTGCTGAAAATGTGGTTTTTTTAGACAGTAACAATGGAAGCAATTTTGATATATATCTTAGGAGGCAGTTGCACAGAACAAAACCGGAAAATGAGTTGAAATTTGTAAAGGAAGCTCAGAAGGCACGCTATTCAGGAAGCTGCCCCCAAATGGTTGTCTCAATCCTGTTTTCCCAGTCTTCTTTTTCTATAAGCTAGAATTATCATACCAGAGGTTTGTAATTTGTATATTTTGTAAGAGTGTACAATGCACAAGGTGGGGAAAAAAATGGACTGTGCACTGCTTTTTGGAATGCCTTTGTATCAGAGAAGGCCAGGAGAAACTGGTGGGACCACTGAGGGTTCAGTTAGATGTTCGGTGTATATCCATCCTATCATCAAAATTACTGGAATTAGAAAGTAGGTGGGAAGCATCCTCTTAACACATGGAAAATAGAAAAACTTTCCTAAACATATGCCAAATGAACAAATTTACATTATACCAAGGTGGGCTGTGAAGTATATTCCTGCCCTTGGTAAAGACTCTGAATAGCAGAATTATTTCATTTTCTGGAATGTTCATACTGTTTCTGGCTATTATCTGTTGATCACTTAACTCTGTGCTAGTTACTTCACCTAAATTAGCTCGTTTATTTGCATAAAAATAACCTGATAACATAAGCAACTTTATCTCCATTTTACATGAAAAAAGAGGAGCTGAAATCTGGTCTTTTTACAATGACACATCAGTTGTATAGATCATTTTAGGTGGACTCAAGGGGCTTTCGGGCCACAGAGGCTTCCCCCACATCAGAGATCTGCCTGTAGCTAGGGTTCAAATACTCTAGGCTACAAACTAATCAAAACAAAGCAAAGAAATTGGCTGTCTTTTTTTTTTCTTTCTTTTTTCCATTTCATAGATTAGTTGTAGAAACCAACTCCTCTGCTCTTAGAAGCCTCTGCTGATAGGCTAAATAAGGCTGAGTGCTGATTGTGGAGAGTGCTGTTCATTAGCGCCATTGAGATGATTTGCCATCTTTAATTACCTATTCATCTGCAATCTAGACACAGGTCTGGAGTTAAGATTTTTTAGATATGTCTGGCTCTAGGAGCACTTGGGCTACTTCGCGCTTTTAAAAAAGAGAAAGAAAAACAACAACAGGCCTGATTTTCATCATGCACAGCTCCTGGAGAGAGCTTTTTGCCTTGATTTCAGCTGCCAATCATGGTGATCCCATTCACTCATTCCAGTCTGATTCATAATTTCATTTTGTGGTTAGACAAAAATACCAAAATTGAACAAAGTTATCTGATTGAAAAATAATATGTTTTCCTGAGATTATGGTGACCTCTCTGTTTTTCTGATTTACATATACTTTCAACTCATTTTCCTTCACAGTGGGAATCTCAGAAGCATTTTTCCAATAGAGTGTATTCAGCAACTGCTTTAAGAAAATGTTATCAGAATAAATTAAATTTACCCAGGTGTGTATATATGGTATTGTCTCCACGTATAACTGCCTTGCAGGGCATGCCTTTTCTGGTGGGGGAATGAATAAGGGGACAACTCTGGGCTTACAAATCAGTTGAGTGGGAGAAGGTTTAGACATTGGTGTGGGGCTCACTTCTATACTATGTTAAACACATTTGGGTAATGTCAGGATTCTATTTCCCTGAGTTTCTTTCCCCATAGCTTAGAAAGTCATAATCCAGCTACCTAAATCGCCCCTCTCTCCAATGCTTCTCACATATTCTAGTTACACAGCCACAGGACTACCCTGGAAAAGTCATACTTTGGCTTTCATTCAGCTCCAGAAAAGCCCTGCTGACCCCATGAAGACAGCAATTCAAAGACCAATGAGTGATATGTGAGAATCCAAGACAACTTTCAACCTCAGTGCCTGCCTCTGTAGGCGCACCCAATTATACGGTGGCCTTCTTTCAAACCCATTATCCCTTCCCAGTTTTAAACAAGGTTGTCCTTCAGGTCACTGCAAAGGCAAAAATTTCACTTGACATGAGTATGATAATTTGCATTTATTGCAGGTACAGTATTGCTGTGCATTAAAGAGAAAAAAATACTGTGATAATTTCCCCCAAATATAATAGTTGTTGGTGGAATTAGTTGTCATCGAGTTGATTCCGACTCATGGTAACCACGTCCACAGAGTAGAACTGCTCCATAAGGTTTTCAAGGCTGTGACTTTTTAGGAGTAGATTGCCAGGCCTTAATTCCGAGGTAACAAATGCTTAATACAGAACACATGAAAACAGAGGAAGAATGTATAAATTAGAAAGATTGGAACATGCATATTTAAGTATTGATTTAGGCACTGTTCTAGGAGTTTGGGGATATATCGGTGAACAAAATAGATAGAGATTCTTGCCTCATGGGGCTTAGATTCTAGCAGAAAAAGACAGGCAATATATATTCAACCTAATAAAGAATTGGAGTATATAATATGTTAATTACAAGAAGATAAGCACTAAAGAAAAAAATGTGCAGGGAGACCAGCCAGGTGCTCTTTTAAGTAGGGTTATATGGAAAAAAAAACTCCAAGAGAAAGTAACATGAGACCACTTGATAAAGGGGAAAGAATTAGCTGTGAAAATACCCGGGGAAGAGCTTTCCATGGGTCCACAAGCCAGAGACAGCTATTACTAACATTTGGGAATACCCTTTTCAAATCTTATATGTATCTACATGCACATATATCTATATATGTCACTTATAATTGGAATCATATTGTACATAGTTTTATATCTAAAGATTTATAAAAATTATCAATACTTAGAAATTTGAGAAAGAACAATGCTGATGACCATATTTAAATTTCCCAAAGTTTTAATATGATTAGGAATCTTTGAAATGCATTTGTTTGAATGATCAATCTGCAGATATAAAGAAAACTATTCTTTAACTCTGGAAGCTAGTAGTGCCCTTGGTTGATTAGTTCAGCTCAAAGAAATGATTTGCTAGCTTTAATCTCCTTAGGATAAGATTGTCTGTGCTGTGATCTTTCTTCCCTTGTTCAAGCTAGCAAGGGGGCGGCTAACAGTGGGGACTCAGAAGACAAGGTTACATAACTTTATTGCCCTGTGTCTCAGTTTCATCACCTGCAAATAGGGGATTAATAAAGCTTACCTATCTCCTGAGGACACTGGTGGATTAACTAATTAATGCCCATATGGTGCTGAACAAAGGCTGAGCATTGTTATTAGAGAAGAAAGAAAATCTATCATCAGATTGTACCTTCCTGGCATCTGTTGCCTTGGTAACCAGATTTGCAGGTGCGAGTACCATTTTTGGCTTTGCCTGCCAGGGTGTTCTCTTCCACACACTGACATTCTGAAGAGCAGCCAGCTCCACAGGCCCCTTTGGGACAGTCTGTCAGCAGATTGAGGCAAACCGGTCACCTGAAAACCACGCTTTGTTTGTTTTAAATAGTTAGTGCACAGGCATGTAGTTCTGCCGCACCTGATTATGGGGAGACAAAGTGCTCATCCTGACTGCCAATAAAAATAAAGGGGGGGGGGACAAATGTCCTTTCAAGTCAGTCAATTCATTTGCTTTTTGGCAACTGGATGTGAACAGTGAAGAGTGAACTACTTAAAAGGCTTTGGTGCTTCTGGGAGGGAAACTGCTTCTCAATGTGCTCCATTGGTGCCTATTGTTAATATTCTCCAAGGGCCACTAAGGCCTGCCAGGCCCCATGTTTATCTTGCTACAGCATGGAGATGATGGACAAGCCTTTATGTGAAGGCTTTCCATCGTTTTCACTCCCTTTCATTATACGGTAATCAGAAATAATTTTACATCAAGCAGATAACACAAAGCTTTCATTGTGACAGCAGCATTGTCTTGGCCACATCTTTGGCAAACAGTGCTTGCCTCCCCTTCATTTTGTTCCCCATGCCATTGAGTTTTAGAGTTGGTAGTCAGCACAGGATTGCTAATTTGGAAAGGTCCAACCTTTGCATTCCGGGAAACATACCCATAGATCTCTCTTTGAGCAGTTACTCAGTAATTCAATTCTCTTTCCAAAATATACCTCTGACTATTTTTCTCCCCTGTTACAGATGCCAAGGGACTTACCAAATGAAAGAGCCTTCAAGTGCGCTCCAGGCTCAAGGTAATTACATTGTTTGTGCTCCTAGGCTTTGCATAGAAAGCTGCTTGGAGAGAACAAAACAAGTAACTTAACTTTCTGGTGGATGGAAAGGGGCTTTAGCAGAGATCATTCAAAGTAGTGGTTACAATACTATCATGTAAGGTGACCCCAGTCCCAGTTGCCAGGACAGTCCAGAGTCATCACTAGAGCAGAACAGAATTAGTAAAGGGCCTCTTTTCACTCTTAAAAGTGCTTGATATGGGTGATAAATTATACACTCACTCTATCGGCTTTCCTGCAACTTCCCAGTTTCCAATCCTTTCCTAGGCCCATCAAGCCCCACGATCTCTCAGAGCTAATTTCTGGTTGATGTTGGCCTCTTCTTGCTCATTCCAGAACACTGGATTGGCTTCTATGCCCTACCTTTCTTGGCTCAGCATATATTGTGATTCAAGGAACAACTGAATGCTTAAATGTGACAGCTGGGTTTCTTAATATGTAACTGGAAATAGTCTTGGGGAAAAAAAAAAGAGTGGAGGAATTGGTGATCCAATGCCTACTCAGGGTTGCAGAATCAAGTACCTCAGGGGTCAGGTAAGTAGCATCAATAAATGAAGCCTCAAGTCTAAGCAAAAAGGGAGTCCTGGAGAACTGGAATGTATATATTCTCCGTAAGGATGGTCATGTTCAAAAGAATAATCTCCACCACCAACAATAACAACAAACCAGTTTGCCAGATTTTCCCCTGGGCATCAAGTCCTCACAAGATGCAAATGAATGTAAATCTGCTGTGCTAATATTATTCACACCCTAAAATCTTCAATTTTCTATATTTCTGAAAGGTTAGCTCTTTAAATTTTTGTCCAAATTAATTATTATTTAATTTTTTGCCAAAATATCTGATATTACCTTATGAAATGCACAAAATTTATTACTAAAAATGGAGCTTGTCTTGTTGCACTAGAGGAGAAATATTAGAAATGATGCTGTCTTTGTTTGCAGGTCAGTCTTCTTTTGGAACGTTCTCGGCAGTATTTGTTGTCCCATAATATATCATTCACACTTCCTTTGCCCACATTTACCCATGCATTCCCCACTCTCTTCCCTATTGCTTATCTAAGGCTAGGCTTTCCTCAGGACTCAGGTTCAGTTCCCTATGATGTCTTCCCTGTCTCCTTTATTGGAATATTCACAATTTAGTCTCTGCTTTCAAGGGACATGTCTTTTATAAAACAGATTAAGACTCATGAACATCCACCTAAAAATACGAATAAAACTCTAATCTCTGTTTGGAAAGGATGGGTCCTAGTATCACTGAAGTTCATCCAGGAAGGAGTCTTAGAGGAGCTGATCCTTCAAAGAAAAGTGGAGGAATGCCGAGTGATATAAGTCAGTCACAAAAGGTCAAATACTGTGTGATCCCACTTACATCAAATATCTGGAATACACAAATATATACCCAAACCCAAAACCTATTTCTGTCATGTCGATTCTGACTCATAGCAACCTTCTAGGACAGAGTAGAACTGCCCCATAGGGTTTCCAAGGAGCGGCTGGTGGATTTGAACTGGAGACATTTAGTTAGCAGCAAAACACTTAACCACTGCGCCACCAGGGTCCCCCTTAGTGATAGAGACCAAAATTTATTAGAGATTACCAGGGGTGGGGCGGAGGGGATTAAGGGAGGCCTTGCTTAGGAGGCATTGAGCTTCTGTTAGGGGTGGTGGAAACAGACAGTGGCTGCACAGCACGATGAATGTAATTAATGTCATTTGACTTGTACATCTAAAAATATTGAAATGGCAAATGTTTTGTTATAATATATACTTACCACAATTAAAAAAAAAAAAGAAAAAGTGGAGGGACATGGAATAGGGAGGGGAGCAAGGCAGAGACAGACTCAGGCTCACAGGCACGCACACACAGCTGTGGTGGGACGGCAAGCATTCCCACTGGAAGGAATTCTAAAAGTCACCCTGTTTTCTTGTAGCTTTTGCAAAACGTGACTGAGGGTCAAAGTGCAAAAAGAATCTGTTTTAGAAATTTTAGGGAATGACTTTGCCTTGCGTTAGAGCCCAGGAGTAAAAGAGCTTTGTTCTGGGCCCTTGAATATCAACTCCCTTAAAGTGTCAAATATCCAAAAGAACTCTTAACAAACTCTCTCAATAATTAAGGTAAATGCTGACTAGAAAAAAATTCAAAGAATTTAGAAATACTTTTCTTTCACTCATGAAAATCCAGATTCTATCATTTAAGAAGGCTAAATAAAAACTAGAACATAATCATCATATGTTTATAATTATCATACGGTATGACTATACAATGTTTTATACGTTTTCATCTCTTCCTTGGTCTAGTATATTCTCTGTACTTCTCTGAGCCTCTGCGCCCCACACAGCGAATTTAGTGCCTGTGACTTACTCAGATGACAAAACCGCCCGTAGCGCCCTGGCTCGCACATACAGGCCCCATACACCCTGTGGCAATGACCATTGTGGGCGCAGTTACATTTCCTCTTGCAGTTCTTCCCAAAAAATCCTTTTAGGCATCCTGGAGGGTGGAAAGACAAACAAAGCAAATATTAACCCACATGCAAAATTTGCTATAGGGTTGTTACATGAATCAAGAAGTTTGGGAAAGTGAAACATTGTTTCCAATCTGGTTGGACTGAGACTAGAGAGATCTTTTAAAAACCACAAATATGATTCTGTATCCTCTGATTAAAATCACTCCATGACTTGCTATTGCTGTTAGGTTCGTCATGGCTGCTGTTGAGTCACCACACACGAATGGTGGCTGTGCATGAGGTGCATTGGCAGGAATGGAACCTGGGTCTCCCACATGGAAGTGAGAATTCTACCACTGAACCATCGACTGCCCTCATTGTTAGGTTTTGGAATATTCTGCAGTCAGTTGAGTTGATTAAGACTCATAGCAACCCTGTAGGACAGGGTAGAACTGCTCCATAGGATTTCCAAGGCTGTAATCTTTATGGAAGCTGAATGCCACATCTTTCTCTCGCAGAGCAGCTGGTGTATTCTAACTGCTGATCTTTTGGGTAGCAGCCGAGCGTGCAACCATTGCACCGCCAGGGCTCCTTTTCGCTGTTAGGTTAAAGACCCCAAATTTAACAACACCTACAAGCTTCCACACACTTTCCCACTTCAGAGCCTGGCAACGTGTGTCTTCCTCAGTCTGGAATACGCTTCCCTCATTCTTCCCCTGTCTCATTTCTACTCCTTTTTCAGGCTTCTGCTCAAGTGTCACTTCTCCAAAAGTCTTTCACACAGTCTGCATCTATTCCTCCGGGTTTTACCACCAGCCACCCTGTAATATTTAATTTGTAATGCCTACCAATTTGGTAGTACCAACCTTTGTAATCTATGTCTGTCTTGATAAGACTGAGAGTACTGTAAAGAAGGACCAGGGTCTTTTTTTCCCCCTTGTTTTTGTGTTATCATATCATAATGCCTGGCACAGTGCCTTGAAAACTTTATATTTTTTGAATAAATGAATAAACATTGCTCACAGGGATAAGAAACTGGGATGCCAGCAGGGGCCTTGCTGCACCTCAGGGAGCTAAGTAAACTTGGTTTCTATCTCCCCAGTTCCATAATCTGTGAGAATCTAATAAACTCCCCGTGATTTCCGCAAATCTCTGGGGCCCTATACCTTCACTGACTCTCTTCCTGCCGTTCTTGTGCCTGTGCAAGCTACCTCTTGTGTGTGTGTGCTTTATCAACCCATGTGGGAAACTCTTCCTTTTCACTGGTTTCTGTGAAAAATCCATGCACACCACTTAGATGTTTTGGGATTTTTTCATCCGCCATCTCATCTCTCCTTTTCTCTCTCCACCCCCTCCTTTTTTTCTCGGATTTTCATCTCTTTCTCCCTGGCTTGCCCAAGAAGCCCCATTCTTTCTACCTTTTACTATGCAGAGCAAATCAATTTTTCTCAGCTCCTATATTCAAACCTGCACACACAAACTTCTTTTTTTGCTCAGCAGAAGATGTTCTCTGTGCCAGGATTCACTCTGAAGTTTTAAATATCACTTGTTTTGTTCTGTTGCACATGTCATCAGTCAAAGCAACTGCATCGTTGTACAGACAGACACAGCCTTTTACTTCTTTAGAAAATGCCACCTTGAAAAATACGATGCAGTTTTCACTTAGTTTATTTTCCATTAGAAACCTCAAGAACTTAGAGTTGTCTTATATGACTGGCACCAGACGTTCATACTGTCTTCACAGGTTGCTCCAGGAATTCCTGAGGGGCACTGGCGCTGCCCAGTCAGGGCATCACAGGTGCCTCCACTCTGGCAATGACAGATACTGCCACACTCTTTCCCACTGGTCTCTGGGGAACAAGCTAGGAAGAAAATAGAGAAGGTGAAGGGGCAGAGTAACTTATTCTTCGAGATAACAAATGGAGGAAAAAAAAATGCTTGTCTTTCTACTGAAATGGATACCAAGCCATTAAAAACTCGGTAACTTGCAGACCCAGGAAGAATCTCTGACATGTTGCTAGTTTGGATGGCATAGTCATTCCTGGGGTGGGTTACTGATGAGAAAAACCAAACCCGTTGCCACTGAGTCAGTTCCAACTCATAGCAACCCTATAGGACAGAGTAGAACTGCCCCACAGGGTTTCCAAGGAGCGCCTGGTAGATTCAAACTGCCAATCTTTTGGTTAGCAGCTAAACTCTTAACCACTACACCGCCAGGGTTTCCAGGTTACTGATACAGCTAGTTAAAAACAGATGATTGAAAGAACTGCTAACAGGGTTCAAATGCAAAATTTACCTTGTTTCTTAAACTCTAACCTTCACGTTTTCAAAGCTATCAGATAACTCTGCTGTACAGCTCTCACCAACCTTAATGCGGAACAAGCTTCATCTTCTATTTTGAAAAATGGGAAGAAAATGCAGAAAAATACAGCTAAGATTTTCTTGAGGGTCCCAGGGTGTTTTGTATTATCAAAGACTAATAAAGTCAAGCAGACTACTGTTTTCTTTTGTTGACTGACTGATTCGTTTGTTTGGAGGTATTAAGTGATCCAATCTAAAATAAATTAGGAAAAGTGTCTGTGACTTTATTTTCAGTTTCACTTAAATACAGTTGTTGGGAAATTTTCAGTAATAATTTGAACTGATATTTTATCATAGTAAGATAAATATTTTAAAACTGCATTTATATCATCTCCCTTATCCATCTACTCACACGATCCAGATGCTAATGTAGAAACTTGGTTTCTGAGCGGACTTTTTCTTTGCTTTCAAATCATAGGCTACTATGAAAGGGAAAGGAAAGAGGAAGATAAAAGGAAAAGATGAGAAAGAGACTGGTAACTAACATTCATTGAGAAGGCAACTCACAATAACAATAACGTATTGTTCATTTTCATGTAGTAACATCTTTGAAATCTTATGGCAACTATAGGGGTAATAGATCTGGAAAATGAAGCTAAAGAACTTCAGAAGATTTGTACAGTGCTTGGCTTATAGCAAGTAACCACCACAGACAAACTCAACACTGTTATCTGGTACTCCCCACAAAGTAGAATATGATATCACGTAGTACGAGGATTTGCCAAATACTTCATTAGCACCAAACAGAGCAAAGAGCCCGGGGAAGAAAAACGTAAAACAAACTAACACGCCTTAACAAGGAGCGTCCTAATTGCAAGTTCCTCTCCCAAATTGGCAACCTTGAATAAGGTCCCCTAGCCAAGCAACGCTGCATATCACAGGGTCAAGGCACAGTTTCTGCTTAGCGTGAGTATTGGACTCCAGTTCCTTTCCAGCTCGTGGAAGTATTCAGACAAGCCAATGGTATCCTAAGCAGCCAGGGGGCACTTCAACCTCTTCCTGTTACAAAGCCTGCCTCCCACAGCCCCTGGTTGTTCACTCTGTTTCCAACTGAGACCTCTGTGTGGTTCTGCATGGTGTGTGGGTGTCCTCCTCCCCTGGGCTGTGAGTCTATGTGAGTAATAAATTGTTGTCAATCTCACATGCCCATTTCAAATGTCTTGGGTTCAGCCATCCCCATAACCCTAGAATGGGGCTCTCTCCATCACTGAAATGGGGTGAATCCCAAACCAAACCAAATTCATTGCCATGGAGTCGATCAGAGGTGATTAAAATACCACCTACCCTTTTTGTTAAAGAATTAGAGAACATTTTTCTTTTATTTCTCCTAATTAGATTGTTTGGTTTTCATTAAAAAAAAAAAAAAAAAAAAGGATAGAGAAGTGCAAGGAAAATATAAGCTTCAGCATCCTGGGACAGAATCCCCTTTAAAGGACTATGTTAACATTTAAGAGAGTCTCAAGGTGTTCCAAAGCCAAAGAAAAAGCCATCTTTTCATTTTAAGAAGCCTTGGTGATGCAGTGGTTAAGCACTTGGCTGCTAACCAAAAGGTTGGTGGTAGCTGCTAACTAAAAGCTCAGAGGTTTGAACCCACCAGCTGCTCTTCGGTAGAAAGATGTGGCTGCTTCTGTAAAAGATTACAGTCTTGGAAACCCTATGGGGCAGTTCTACTCTGTCCTTATAGGGTCACTCAGCTGCTAATGAAAGGTCAGTGGTTCAAACCCACCAGCTGCTCAGCTGGAGAAAGATGTGGCAGTCTGCTTCTGTAAATTAGCTTTACAGCCTTGGAAACCCTATGCAGCAGTTCTGCTCTGTCCTATAGGGTGGCTTTGAGTTGGAATTGACTTGACAGCACCGGCTTTGTTTGTTTTTGATTTGGTGAGTCAGAATGGACTCAATAGCAATGGTATCATCATTTTATCAGCTAATCTTTTTTCACTATTTCTGTATTAATTTTGTATTGGTGATGTTTATTCTGATGTATCTGAGACAGGTATTTTAGTTTCATTTCTCTTGCTACCATGTTAGGGTAGCATACCCTATGGAAGAAATACCGAACATATTTATCAACAAAACATACAAGGTAAAAAAATTTACTTCCCAATTGTAATACAATCACATTTATTCAACCTCAATATTGTATAGTGGAATGTGTTAAGTTGCAGGTAAATATAGCTGGAATTCTCAATACTGAGTTTTATTCATTTGTTCAGATGGAGATTCATACAATGAATAAGACGTAGCCCTGGCTCTCAATTAGCTCTCAGCCTAGCAAGGGAGATAGAACAGGAACATGGCTAACTCTTAATGTAATACAGAGAAAGAGTGACTTAAAATCCATAGGAAAAATAAATAGTTCTGGGAGACGGGACATCAAATAAAGCTTCATACAACAGATGGCAAACCAAACCAAATCCATCGTTGTCAAGTTGATTCTGCTCATAGAGACCCTATGGGACAGCCCCATAGGGTTTCCAAAGCTGTAGATCTTTACAGAAGCAGACTGCCACATCTCTCTCCCGCGGAGCAGCTGGTGGGTTCAAACCGCTGACCTTTCGGTTAGCAGCCAAGTGCTTAACCACTGCGCCACCAGGGCTCCGTATACAATAGGTGGCAATGGACCTTAAACGACAATTGGAGCTGAGCATGTGGAAATGGGGGAAGGAGAAGGGCAATCTGGTGGAGAAAACAGCTTAACAGAAGGTATAACAGCTGAAAAGCACAAGGCTTTAAGTAGTGAGTGGTTTAGTTTGCCGGGAATAATAGGCTGGATCAAGAGTTGTGATTAAGATAAAGAGTGAAAAGGATTATAAGACCTGATTTTAGATGGTTGTCAGTGACTGAATAAGAAGTGTACACCTTATGTGTCAGGAAAGAGGATATTCTAAACGTTTTTTTGAGCAGCAGAGAAAAGCAATCAGAGGACTGCTTGGGGAAGTTCTCAGAACTCTAAAGAGTAATCTCTGCTAAATCGGTTCACTATTTTATGACTAAGTTCTGCATCTGTGTCATAATAAAAACAATACTTATGTTCTATCCTCCCACGCACAGGGGTTTCAAAAGAAAATCTCTTACATCATCTTCCAAGCAAATCATAAAGATGAGGACAAACCCATTTAAAAAAAAAAATTATAAAATAAATTATAAAAGAGCAAGCAAAAATGAAGACTGTCAATATATTTTGGTTTTGTTATCTGGCAGTTTTAATTCCTGAAAGTATGCCTTCATCTAAAATATGAAGGAAAAGATTGGGGGGGGGTATAATCTTTGATATTTTCTCTTGAAAGACTTGGATAAAACATTTTAAAAAGTGTCACTGGCTGTGCTAACATCATTTTAGAAAAGAAAGAGAGAAAAAACAAAACAAAACGCGAACTACAATAAACAGCAAACGGCCACGCAATTCCATTTAATTGCACTTTGTAACACAAATCTTTCCTTTTTTTCCTTCAATGGGAATAGCTTGCCAGGGCCTAATGATTTATTTAAATGGATGGATTTTTTTATAGGCCTAGAATATTAGGGCTGTTTATGAACTTTTACGTTTCGCGGATAAACAAGAGACAGCACATCAAATTTCCCAGGGAACACAAAATCTCCCCCTTCTAATCGCATGTCCAGTATAAAACCTCAGCACCTCATAGCCATTTTTTATGCACAACAAATAACTTGGTTTCACCCGTATCAATTGTTTACCTTATTAGAACATTTTAGGGAGAATATACATAAAGGAGAGCTCATTACCCGTAGTTTGGTGGGCCTGTGACATTTCTCCAGGATATCAATCACTTTCCTGGCAAAAAAGGCCACCCCAGCTAGCCAGGCAGGTGCTCCTGCTCCTCCCTTCCTGGCATTTGCCTCCATTCCTGCAGTCCTGACAGCTCGAACTGCAGTCGTGTCCGAAGGTGTCATCTAAACAAACTGGAATGTGATACCATCTTGGTTGAGCCATAATGGCTTTACATAACTAAAAAAGGAAATGAAACCCTTAATTTCCCAAAGAAAATCATGACCTTGGAGGACATTTCCTAAAGTCTCAGAAAAGGACAAGAGCAAAGAGGTATATTTTTTATAGTCCATTCTGCCACTCTCTGTCTCTTTATTGGTGCATTTAGTCCATTTACATTCAGCATAATTATTGGTAGGTATGTATGTGTCTACTGCTATCATTTTGATGTCTTTTGTGAGTGTGTGTTGTTGACAGTTTCTTTGTTCCAGTTAATTTTCTGTGCTGAGTTGTTTTTCTTTATGTATTTTCTTTTCATCTTCTTCATTGTTCTTGATTTTGTATTTTCTGAGTTTTTTTGCTTTTTATTTTGATGTATAGGATTGTTAGTGTTCTCTTTGTGGTTACCTTAATATTTACCCCTATTTTTCTAAGTTTAAACCAATCTTTTATTTCTTTATATCACCTTGACTTCCTCTCCATACGAAAGATCTATGACTACATTTTTAGTCCCTCTTTTTTATTTAATGTTATCATCTTCCTCATATTGACATT